CACAAGGACACGAAAGATGGTAATAAGTATACGCCGCTTACGATGTTTAACAGCGAAACCTGTTTGTGATAGAGGATATTAATCGAAAGTTAGTCGTGCCATATAAGAATGCTGCCAGATCGGAACAACGAGTGGTAGTGTGGTTTCTGATTGTAGGAGATGAGATTAATGCGGACATCTATCGACGAATAGTGGCAGTCTATGGCGAGTACTGTTTAGGAAGAACGTCTTGGAACACAGATGGAGTAAAAGTTTTTGAGAAGGGTACAAACGATATTGGATATCCATGACAATGTTCGCCTTCACGTCTTCCGTGAAACCAAAGCAACAATAAAAAAAGCCTTTGAGAAAAGTTAGAGAATCCACCGTACAGTCTGGATTTGTCATCCTGTGACTCACAGGCCTTTGGGCTATTTAAGACAGTATTAGATTTCTATTTGGACGATGTATTGAAGGAACATGGGCTTCCTCAAGAATGAACCCCGTTTTTTCCTATAGAGTGTAGGCATAGACCTGCTGCAGAAACGATGGGATCTGTGTTACAGCCCCCCCCAGATGATTTTTTTTGATTTCCAATAAAATCATTCTTTTTACTTAACTTTTCCACCTTTCATTTGGACAACCACTATATATTAAGGTGATCTCCAATCTCGGGTACGCTGAAGTTACAAAGTGGCTAGGAATCTGAATTTGTCATTCTCATTCTATATAAGTACTTCGTAAATAGTCATGGGCGATGGAAAGTCTAAAGCGGGCCAAGCTGACTGATTTAAGAAAAGAACTAGAAGGACCTGGTTGTATTAATTGATTTTTAAATGACTAAAACTCAATCTTCTAGCAAAAGTTTTATTTTACATTGAATATATATTTATTTCTTTTTAGAAGGAAAATTTTTTATAGTTGGACTTTAAATGAAGATTAATTCTCTTGAGGTACAGTGAAAATCGTTTAACACAAAACCGAAGGGACTGAAATATTTTTTCATGTTAAAAGAATTTCGTGTTAAGGGATATTGCAAAGCAACCCCATTTATCAGTAAAATTAAGTTTATTAGTGTTTATTTTGTTTACATAGATATGTATATATGCACGCATTTAATACAAATCGATGAAACGAAAACATTCACAAGACCTTAATGACATTTAATACAAAATGTTTGAGTTTTTTGAAAAACAAAACATTTATTTTTTGGAAAATAAATGTTTGTCCATTGGAATGTGCGTCTAAATAAATGCGCATACTTTTCATGACCATCCTCATTTCGAATGATCGGGGAACAGGAGCTGCATTATTCATTTCATTTTCGCTGTCGTATTCTGTATCAATAATATATTTGTGTTTTGAACAAACTGTAAAATGTCTTTGTCTGCTCTTAGTAGGACTATACGCACATTATCATCATCTTCTGAAACGAATTCTTACAATGACGAACATGCATGTTTTCCATATTTGTTCATTTCCAGAAGGAAAATCTTTTCGTGTTAAGCTATTTTCGTTTGGAGTTGAGAGAAAAAAAATGTATGGAAGTTCATAGCACCGATTCCCTGAAGTAAACCCTTATAAAATTAAAATACACAATCTTGAAAAATCCAAGACATGCATAAACATCACAATTACCTCAACACATGTGTTTTTAAAATAACCCCTCCTCTTAGAAAGACGATATAAATTTTAATGATTCCCATCTTCGTTTTAATTAAATATAACCACGACGTTTTCAAAGACAGATGGAAATCTTTCGGTTCGTCTCCAAATAAAACAGAAGCAGCGATACCAAACAAGGCCCACGGTGATAAACCTAAAATTACAAACCATCGCTATCTAGTTACACAGAAGATAATAAGAGACTTTAAATTTCCTTTCGGGAAAGATATTCATATTTCATTTCTTCTTTTAATTCCGGCACGAAACAGGAGGACAGGTTCCGCTGAGCAAATTTACTCGCTTCCATAAATTACCGAGACGGCGGATATTTAAAGATATACACTTGTTGAATATGCGTTGTGATATTTGGTATTAATGCAGCGAATGCACGGGTAAGATAATGGCTACGCAAACAAATTATGTAAATGAACTTTCGGTTTTGATAGCATTGTGAAATCGATTCGATACAAGAGGAACAGGACTCTGGCTGCTTAAATATGTACTTGGATTGAATGTTTTCTTAAGTAACAGAAACATAGTTCTCTTTTTGGATTTAATTATTTGGTGCTGTTTTGTCCGTTTATACATTTGAGTTATTTCTGTATAAAATGATAAATGATGTACTTGTACTGGTGGGAAATCTTATGAAGTATTAAAAACTGTTTTTCTAAAATACGTTTTATTCGATCTCTGTATAATTTCAGCACAGACGCGATGGATTGATACATTGTAGAATGGATTTTATTCAATTTCTACTATTATAGTTCACATTCACCCTATACATATATATTTATTTATCTTGTTAAAATTTTCAATCGTTAATAAAATACTTTCTATTCATCCACTCAAATTCAAATACATTTTTGAAGTTAACTCTTATAGCACGTTAGGGAAAAATTTTCGTTACGCGTTACCCGTTACCAGTTACGGTTACGCGACGAACGTAATTTAATGGTGTATGAAGCTCCGACTTTTACCATGTCTTTAAAAAAGCTGTCGCGAGTTTAACAAGTATTCATATCATAACCACGAGATGTAATTTAATAAATATATTTAAACTAAAATAAATTCAAAACTCTAAGAAGTTTATAATATGAAATGAAACAACTCAACTTGTATTGAAGCGATTTTGTAAATAAAAGATTTATGGTTTTATGCAAATGGGAACAGTGAAAAAGTAAATAAAAATAAGATTTGGAATGCCGAGTTTTTGTGTGGTTGTGAATTATTTAAACTAAACTGTTTTATTATAAATTGGACGAAACAAAAGCCATCTAATTATTTCTATCAAACTCAGACAAAAACTATTACAGATTCGGAAAGATAATTTTTTTCGCCACGATACGGTATAATTTTTTCTACAAAATAAAGATATTTTTTTATTTTATACGATTTTTTCTAAAATGAGTCAAAATTGATACGTTTTTATCAAAAAGATTTCCAAACTGTCCCCGTTCAATTTTCTTTCACTTTAATGAATTTATATTCTACCCTAAAAAGTTCATGCTTTTCTCTTTTAGAATCAGTTATTTAAAAAAAGAATGCCAAAAACTGTTCTTTTTTACGATTTTTCAAAAAATACTCAAAATTTTAAGTAAATATTAAATAACTTCGTTATTTATAAAAGTAATCTCACGAAACTTTTTTCTGTGTGTAGAACAATATTATCCATAATATGTACTAAAATTAAAAACAATTGCTTAAAAATTAAGGTTTTTAAAATTATTTTAGCGTTTTTCGTCTATTAGCCTTTTTACGAGAATTTTTACTAAAAACTTATCCTTAGATTTTTTTTTGTTTAAAAATTATCATTGTCTTCAATCGATGTGTAAAATTGTAAACCTTTAACTTAAAAATTAAGCCTTCAAAAATAAAAACTTTAATAAAAAGTGCCATTTTACGAAAAGCCAAGGGTTTAGCTACGAAAACCAGTTTCGCGCCAAATTGGCAATCAACACCTGCTTCATCAAGTCCACTTCACATTTCCTCAGTGGTTATACAAGAAAAACTGGAGACAAATGGAAACAACCGATTTTGGCGAGGGAAAAAAATGCGAATGAAAAATTTAGTTTGGTTTCAATAATGGCATCTACTTAGCAACATTACTAACTAAACTACTAACTGCTTACTATTACAAATTTACTACTATTGCAAAAAAAGAGAAAATTTAATGCCCAAAGAAGATTTCTATCAATTAGTGAGAATGTCAAACGAAAAACACACCAAAAAGGACTTTTACTTCATGTTATTTCTGCATCTTTTACATTCAGATCGAACTCCATTTCAAATATTTTTTACCGGCCCTAACAGATGCGTTAAAACGTTAGTCCTTAATCTTTTGATGGGAATTTATAATCGCTATATAAACAATGACGGATACTGTCACGCATATATAACTTGTGCTTCAACTGGCAAAGCAGCAGTAGCTATTTCAGGAACGACTGTTCATACAGCATTAAAAATTTCTTTATCAAGATTACTTCCGTTACATTCTGAAACTGCTCCACAATGCAGAACTTTTTTCAAATACATAAAAGTCATAATCATTGATGAGATAAGTATGATCAGGGTTCAATTATTATATACAGGATTGCCTTATCAAACAGTTTATATGTGAATAATATTTATTACAGTATTACCACAAATATTGATGAGACAGATGATTGGCAAATGGTATAGTTGGAAAGCTAGTTCATATAAAAGCAAATGATGAAGGATTAGTTAAGACAATATTGCTCCAGTTTCCAGTTTTACCTCAAATAGGAGGAAAATTAAGACGCAAAAAGACAATTTCGTCTTACCTGTACAAAATAATAGAATAATATTGACGGCAAAATCAAATACTACAATTGGTGCATTGTTTTCTAGATTCTTAAATGATATTGAGCGCAAAACTTACATTTCTTATTTCAGTTACCACAAGCCTTTGATAACAAAAGTATGTACTGCATAACATAAATAGACTAATAATAATGAAACTTTTCTATAAATGTACACAATTTTTTTTTAGTATTATGTATTGAAAATGAAAATTTTGTTTATATACTTATACCTTATCCATCCTAATTATTTTTTTAAAATAAATTTTGAATTAATAATGATAATAATAAATTTGTTAATTCTATATAAGATTACTTTAAAATAAAACTTAACTATGCAATTCAATACATATAAGCCGAAGAAGTTAACTTCTACCGTGTGTTTACACTGATACACGCACACATTTTTTTAAAACTTGCAGTAGGTGACACTAGATGTTAAAACATTCTTTCAAATATTAATTAATTAATAATTAGTCACAAACAAAAGTATTATCCAACACCCTATATAAAAAGGAAAATCGCTCGTTGTGTCCATGTAACACAATTGGTTGCGCGTTGAATTTATAATCCAAAGGCCGTGGGCTCGAATCCCACCTAATTTGCTGAGAATGTGATTTATTTTTATTTTTCTATTTCCTTGGAATAATTAAATTTAATTATGAATAAATAGTAACAAACAAAAACAATAGTCCAACACCCTCTATAGAAAGGAAAATGGGAAATCGCTTTTTATTTTGACACTTAATATTGTAATTCTGTCATATGTATATACATATTTATATTAATTGTAACTATTTAATAAAAAGTAACTAAAATAAAAATTTTCTTTGCTGACCCAAGCAGTAATTGACTTAATTTTTTTTTATATATTGCTTGTTTTTAATTTTCGAAAACGGCTTAAAATTTATCCTTATAATTTTTGTTGGATTGTCGGTATTATAAATTTCTTTTCTTTTAGTACAAATTCATGTTTTCACTTTGAGATAAATACAAGACAATCAATGTAAGGTGTTTTATATGAACCTTGTAAAAAAAACCAACAAATCATATTTGATAAAAATTATAAAAATTAGGCGTTTTTAAAAAAATTTAGATGAATTATGTTAGTAAATAAGCTAAAATAAAGGATCTCCAGCTTTTATCTCTTGCTTATGGATTAGTTCGTGGTAGCCTAGTGGTCATGGTCTCGGATTTGTGGCTGGAGCTCGAGCCTAGTGCCACTGAAGACTCACCGTGTAGTACGTTAAAAATGTCGGGGCTCAAAGTTCTCTCATTGGCGGGGTGTAGAAGTTCAAAGAGTGGGCGGGTGACAGCTCAGGTGTCATCCATGTCACTTGATCATGGTTCAAAATTATGAGGTCTATCACCAAAACTTTTTGTGTCGCTTTATATTATGACCCCAATAGACATTCACTCACTCCTTAAAAACAATTCTTAGATTAGCTAAGCCTTAAAACGGGATAAACATGTATGCATTTTTAAGAGAAATTTACAATTTTTTATTTATTTCAACGTTTTAAATAACAACTTAACAGCGGATCAAAACAAACAAAAAATAATTTTTATCCGCATTTATTTAAGATAAAAGGTTTAATAAGTATTTATCTCTATAGATGTGTAAATATTTTAAAATGCCGTTTAAAAAATTTTGATATGATTCTTAAGCTTTTCATGGATCAGAATTACTTTAAATAAGGTTCACACACACAAATGAAGATCCATACAGCTTCAAATCAGGAGTTCTTTAAAGCGTATCTCGATATTTACCTTGATTGTATACACGTATTAAGAAAACATTATATAGTTACGATTCATGTTCGAAAAGGTAATAAGTACTTTATCGCTCTATAAATAAGTCCCTGATGCTGTCTTTTTTCACTTTAGCTTAGAAATCGCGGACATTTCTTCTTTTTTTATAAATTAGCTTTTAAAGGAGATTGAATTGAAAGAGCTTGATCATTTATTCCACATACAACATTTAGGCTTGTTTTAGAAATTATAATCTAACAGACTAAGTACTCTTTATTGAATTGTTGAGAATTTTGTAAGCCTTTTAACAATTTCAGCTTTATCTCAGATAAGAAATGTTCACCCGTCTCAGAACCTTTGCATCAATCATTATTTTAGGGATTATTCTCAGAAATTCAATTTCTTGAATCTAGATTCGAAAATCACTCTTCTAGAAGAAACCGAGTTTGAAATGAAATAAAGGACGCAGGCTAGATATTGTGGAAACTTTTAAAACACGTTTCATAATATCTTATTCGTTTCAAAACAAATAAGTTTAATATTGCAAAGGTTAACTGAAAAATTTCCGGCATAAAATTATTAATGAACCAAAAAATTCTGAAATTTAACGTGCAGTTTATATTTTATTTTTAGCAAAATCGCCATTGAGAAACAATGTAAGTGCAAGTTTTTTTATAGTCTTTTTTTTACGACTAAGAATACTAATTTCACATCCATCATTGCATATGTGCCTTCAAAGAACGTATACCATAGATTAATATTAATGAGTTAAAACATTCCTATAAAAAACAAAATGTAAATGTAAATCTTCCATAGTAATTTGCAAATGCCTCTATCGCATTTCTAGCGAAAATATTTAATCTAGCTATAATAATATAGTATATATAGGAATTGATTTTTTTAAAAATATCTTATATATTGTTTGAACAAAATTATTTAATTGAAAACGGAATAATGTAATTAAGGCACTAGTCATAATGAAACCAATTACCTTTTAAGACAATAAATAATTATTATATCCAATTACCGTTAAAGCAGCAATTTAGCTTAATTGTAAACGATGTTTTAATTACTGATTCTACTTTGTATGTTTCGACAACGTATTCCCTGAAGCACTGAAATTAAATATTGCGATAAGCTACTTTCAACTGGCAAATAAAAGTTGTTTAGTTCTATATATCTTAAAAGAACATACATAAGTATACATTTTAAGCCCAAAATTGAAATATTTATTCTAAAAATGTTTATTCCTGTAATTAGCAGAAACGTGTTACGAATAACTATTTTTATACAAATGCTGAATTTGCCCTATATATTAATTCCTAGTTTACCTTCGGAAATCAATTTTTACAATTAAAAAAAGATTTTATTTTATTATTGCTAAAAATGAGCAAAAGCAGCACTAAAAGTAAGTGTAACTGTGAGTTAAGCCTAACTATCCATTTTTAAATTCAAAGTTCACTTTTTTTAGTTTTTGTATTCGAAAAATGTCACATTTTACTGTAAAGTATATTTATACCTATAAAAATAAATTATAATCTCTAGTTACTTTTGTAAAATTGAACGTGACTATTTTTTACTTTAATTGTTTAATTGTTGGAAAGCTAAAATCATTTTTTTGACAATTTGAGATGTTTACATTTTTAAATTTTATAGATTTTAACCTTTCTAAAAATACTTTACTTAAATCTCTAGGAGTAATTAGAAGCCCTTAAGACCTTTTTTTTTAAATAATCGATGAAACTGTGCCACGTCCATTTGAGTGGTGAGAAATGTAAACAAAGTACTTCGTTTTTGCTTAAAAGTTGAACTTCTGATGTAAACCAAAACATGTACGTTTTATTGTAAATTGGGCCCTTTATTTTTTTATTTCCCAGCCGATTAGAAATCTCACTGTATGCATAAAATCAATTTTATCTCAAAATGTAAATTTTGATGCTCGATATACCTTTTCTTAGAAACTACTGTTCATAGGTATGTAAATTTTTTATGATATATTTATAATGATGGCTAATATATACCAAAATGAGCTTTTTGTAAAAAACTCAAAAATTTATTTCTTACAAAATTTTTAAGTGAAAAATGGGTCAAATTTCGCAATGTTTGATAAAATATTTTATAATTTATTACAAAATTAGCTAAAAGCTCCTTTCCGTATAATGAGAAAGGTGAACTTTAATCGTATGAAAAATTTCAAGCATGTACATATGTATATTAGATTTTGAGAAAAGGTACATCGAAAACAGCCAATTTAACATTGTCAGTATATATAAAGAGAGGTGTTTCTAACTCCCTCTGAACTAAATAATGGTGGAACAAAAAATTTGGTTTTAAAATCTTCTGTCTAACAGCCATTTTGAATTCATAAACATAATATTAATCTCTCTCTTTCGTGTAGGATTACTATTTTCTTTACCAAATATAGATTAAAAGTTCCCACAGATTATATTTTCCTTTTATTTAAAGATTTACACAAGCTTACTTAATTAAAAAAGAAACTTTAATAAATGTAAGAACTTTTTTAAATTTTACAAAACATTTTCTTATCTTATGAGCTTTAGAATACATTTGATTGCATCCAAATATTTATAATAGTAATAATAGAGTAAAAATAAAATAAAAGTTACTTGAAAAAAGCAAGCAATGCAGAAGATTCAAAACTAAAGACAAAAAAATATCAATAATTAGTTTCTAACGATGAATAATTGAATGAATAATTATTTAAAATAACAAACACTTTTATTTAATTACAAAACAAGTAATATTTTTTTGAGTACGCGACTTCTTTAAACTTTTTTAATCATTCAAAATGTTCGGATAACGACTATCTATGATTAATGTCGATACAGCGCTATTGACCTAGCCTCGCGATGTAATTTTTTATGTATTGTTTGCTCATGTTATTCAATGTTCAGTTTATTTTGAAATGCATCGTTTGGTTTATAGATAACTGAACTCAAGAGCGGAATTAAAAAATTATATTCGATTTGGATTTCATAACATTTGTGTTCCATTTTACCGTTTCTTCCACAATTTATTTATTTATTTTGTTTACCTTCGACAGAACAGTTTAAACTTTAGACTTACAGATATGATTTGAAAGCTCTTTTGAATTTTGATCTTAAATTATTATTATCATAATTTTAAAAAATTAAATCACAAAACTCGATCACAGGGGCTCTGTATCGGCATTTACCACAATATTTTGCCATTTCGGTGGTCACATATTTTCCTGTTCTAGAAACTTTGTTGATGTTACTAAAATTTTATAATAAAAAATAACTCATTGAAATAATTATTCAATATTAAAAAACTCATTCATGAATTCTATCCAGTATTTTGTTACTCGATTTCAGAATTTATATAGTAGATGGCAAATTAAACTTAACATATTTCGAAAAAAAGTTTTCAGAAAATAGTTCAGAAAAACAAAGCTTTTGTGCTAAATCCCCCTTTTGAATTTGGATCAAACTATTAGCAATTTTTCTTGATTATAGATTCAAAATGGCGTTTTAATTTAAATTCATTAGACGCTGTTCCTGATCCCATTCATTTTTAAAGAATCTTTTAGTGAGAAAGAATTTTGATAAAAATGTTCCATTGTTAGAAAATTATGCAACTTAAAATGCCGAAGATAACTGAATTTTAATTCCAATTTCCAGATGAAAGAAAAAACTTGGAAAACACTGAGAATATTAGAATGTTGAAAAAAATATTTTGTACCTGAGTGAATTATTTTTAAATGAGAAAAGTAAGAAAATGGCCGCTGAACACTTTTTTACACAAAGGTTGTTCGATATTTCCATTAAAAAGGCATATTCGTTTGTTAAAGCTTTAAAGTGTAATTTA